TTTAGAGTTATCACAATATTAACACAAAATATTGTGTAAAACCAAGTGCATATCACCCCTAATTTAGAGCCCCTAATCTAGGCTCTAAATTATAACTTTCGACTTTAGCGGTACAAAATAAGAAAATTACTGAAAAGAATCACAGATTATTTACCAAACTATCTGAGAGCTTGATAAAAGTTTCATTTCACAACGTAGTTGTTAAAACATTCAATTAGATTACAAGTGTTTTATATTTAGAAAAGGAGACATTATTTAAGCAGCATTATCTGAGGTCAGTAAGCAGTGCAGCAGGGGTGAGGCAGAGCAAACCTAAGAAACGATCAGGATGTTTAAATCTCCATCTGTTCACCATGTTAAACCCTTGCCATCTCTATCTAGAACAATCCACCCACAGAACCACACTGCTACCTTACATCATTGTTGCGTTTTGTTGTATGCATTGAAAACAAGTCACCAGTTTACTTCCTTTTAAATGCAACGGCAGCATTTTTTGAAACAAACCTGCCCCTCTGATGGAAACTGTCCCTGCCTGACTGGTCAGTCTACTGCTGAATTCATCCCAGAGCAGAGACGGTTTGTATGTGAGCCGGCTAAGTCGCCGTCTGTGACATATGTTCGACGTGTAGGCGCAGCCGACAAGCGCCACATAATGCTGGTTTGTTCACGTGCAAGATGAGCTGATGAACAAAACAGGGACGTCGGGTTGGCATCCAAAAATATCCGGGGCTCTGGGCTCACCGCTGACTGGAATGCACAGTGACACAGTAAAGGGCCACACAGCTATGCAGAGGCACTCAGGCGCTTTGTAGTGAGCTTGTGACGGTAATGCCACTCGTTGTACAGTCAGCACTCGTGCCCTAAACTCTGCATGGGCCTGACCCCCAACGCTGCAGCCCCTCCAACTCCGAGGACCCATACGCTTTGTGTCTGCACGCTACACATTTCCTGAGACCATAGAAGACAGTCTGTCACTGTGAATTTACATCCACTGTTTGAAAAAAAAAAAGAAAGGAAAGCTCTCCACAGAGACAAGGCTGGTTAGCTGTCCGTGCTAGAACGTCACAGAGTCCGGAAACAAAGACTCTATGGACGACTAGGCCTGTCACAATGATCAATAAATCAATTAATTACATGATAAATTAAAACAAACTCAATAATTTCCATTGGCATAATTTCTTTTTTTCTCCCTCTTTCTACCAAAAACTGAAAGATAAAAGTCTTCAGTTTGGTACTTTGGTCTCTTTTTTGAAGGACAATTTATTTTTACAAAGTCTTCAAAATTTATCTTATTTGTTGTTTATTTTTTTTGGATATGTAAAAAGTCTTACAGTTAAACTCTTAAATGATCATTAAAATGGAAAGCTTACTCATCTTTTAGAATGTGTTCTTGCATTATCATCTTGCCATTACCATTATACTAAAACAGTATTATCGCTTATCGCAATAACTTCTGGAAAAATTTATCGTCCAGCTGAAGTCGTTATCGTGACAGACCTACAGACGACCGACTTGGTTTTAGACCAAGTACCGTATAGGGACTCAATACATTTTACATGTCCAAATTAGCTCAATTTTGGACCAAACTGATTTAAGTTTATAACAAATTTTATGGCATGTATTTCTATAAAGGCTTTAAACATGGAACCTGTAAAAAGACAAGACTTTAAGGAAGGATTGACATGAATGAAATCCTTCTTTCCAGCTGTAGCAAAAGCAAAATAAACAAAAGTGAAAATAAAAAGCCTATCAAAATAAACAATAAATCAATTGGTTAAATAAAGCAAGTAAAATAAGCTTCATAACTCCCATCTGAACAATTGTTGAAGAAAATCATTCCATTTTTAAAAATCTGAAAACATTTCATACCCAGTATTAAGTAGTTAGTTTACACTTTTATTTTACAAATGTCCTAACCGGATCTTTTGCCTATTTTCTCTATCTGAAGAGAATGATTGATAAATTTTGGTTACAGAGACTTCACAATCAGTTTGAATTATTTTTGTTTTGGTTATTATGTTTATTTTGGATATTATGTTTTCCAGTTTCAGTGCCAATTTTTCTTTTTTTTATCTTTGAAAGGGTGCTCTTGCATTAATATACCATTACTAATAGTACATTAGACAAAAATTATCTAAAAATGATATAATTTATTGCAATAATACCTGGGACTATTTATTGTGAGAGGCATAAATATAAATAAACCTTCAAATTCAGTTTGAAAAAGAGCAGGAGGAAGTCAATAGCTATCAAATCCTAACATCATTTGGCTCACCCTGTAAAAAAAGTAATTAATTTCAGTCTGGAATATCTAAATACCTTGTGTGTATTGCATCTGTGTTGACAACGGGACAGGTAGTAAAATCCATGGAAGCAAGTGTTATGTGAAAGTACTTCAATCAAATTCCACAGCAACAGCTGGAAACAGACCGTCGGGATCAATGTCCAGGAAGTTTCCAGTGTTCCTTTGGAGGTTTTTTATGAGATGTGGCTGGTTGTAAAAGGAGGTTTGTTAATGTACGTCTACAAACTTCCTTAAATAAAAACAGAAAAACCAAAACTATTACAGTTGACTCTAGACTAAATTAAGCGTTGGTGTAATTTTTGCGCAATAAGCTGAAGCTTCAGAGACCAAACATCTGCAGAACAGAAGAATGAACAGTCATAAATGTCTACCACAAGAAGAAAAAACAGCTCCTTTGTGAAGGACTCAAAGAAGGGAGTCCTTTGCCAACACTTGTTTTACACTCAGCTGACCTTAAAGTGTTAACAATCTTCATTAGCAAATGTGCCACTTGTCCCTTTCAGCACAAAGCTAAAGCCATGAAATGTGAGAGAGTGGCAGGGTCTGCAACCGGCCAGTCTGTCCATTCAGCCTCCATGCCGGATCCCAAACACAGACAGCGCATTGTCCTGGAGGTGAACAATGCTCTGAACTAAATAAAAACAATTGTTTCATTCCCAAAGTCTGTAACGCTATGGGAATGCAGACATAACAGCAGGCCTTCTCTTAAAATAAACTGGCATGGAGCACAGAGAACTTTTGACATGTTTCAAATTGTATTGATGTGTGTGGCGAAAGCTTTGCACGTCATTCCGCACATGCCTATAACACAAAACCCAATCCACTGTTAGATTCGTACCAGCTGCTTTGGTTTGTCAGAAACATCAAAAATGATTATATTCAACATCCTCGGGGGAGAAGAATGCTCCTTTTTTCAAGCGAGAAGTTTGAGTTATCAGCTTTTCATAACACATCCCACCTCAGAAAATACAAGGGCTTTGACATGCCACCAAACTCACAGGCGTTTGTTATGGATGTGGCTGCATATTGCAGTAGCTCTTACTCAACTTTTGATTTGTTATTTTTATTGATTTCTATTCATTTTCTGGTTGAGGTGTTGCATCTTTGGACAATTATTCCCTTAGTGAGGCTGGAAGCATTTTTTGCTCTTACTTTCAGATTGTTGTTATGATACATAACCATGGCAACAAGATATTGTTTTTACAGCTTGGAGTAGTTGGTTAGCCTCTCAAAAGCTCAAGTAACACCTGAACTACAACTTCAAATCCCAGAGAAGTAGAAAAGGAGGAAATAGTCCAAACTATTTCTGCTATCAATCATATTCCCGACTCCAATGTCTCTTTCTAACCGTACAGCCATATTTGAAGAAGAGTGGCAAAAGCAAATAAGGTGGATTAGCAGTGCTTGTCAACAACTGATGGTGTCATCCAGAAAATGTCACTGTGGAATTATATAATCTCTACCGCCTGGATATTTAGCTGTTAGCAGGTCATGACAGTCATACATCAGTCTTAAGTCAGAGGGCTCTTCAGATTTGTTGTCAGACTGTCTGCTACTGGAGCTCCTTCGTGTCCACAGCATCACCATCCACAACAACTACATGAAGATACTTGGAAATTGAGTTTCAACATTTATCATCAATTTGGGATAAATAAAGTATTTTTGAATTCAAATGAAAACAGATTTTTCAGTGTCGTCTCAGATTTTTGGTTTTTAGAAAGCTTTACTGTTTTTTTGGGTTGTTTTTTTTTGCCAAGATCTTGGTGTTTTTTAAGATTATTTTGTTGCTTTTTAGATCGTCTTGGACAGAAAAAAAATGTTGCCAACAGACAAATATTTCTTCAGATTTCAACTGAAGGTAACCCAAGCAACACCATTTGCACTGGTGACATAGTTTCTGGCAATTAGGTATAAAAGACTGAAATGTCAGGAATCTGCAACATGCAGGTCCACACACACCCGAATAGCTCTTGGTAAGTTTGACCAAAAATAAATGATACAATAAGAACCTACAAATTCCAGCAATTTTCATAGGAATTTTAAATTATTTGGCACTATAAAAACGCCGCCAAACTTTTGTCTAAACTATTTTTGTGCATCTAGAAAGTGTTTTTCTTTTTTTTTTTTTTAGCTTAAAATGTATATTTTACAGCAGCAAGTACAAGCTGCAGCTCAGCAGAAAGCATTACAATTTAGGTTTGGTCTTTGACTAGGTCTCCTAGCACACAATTATGCTTTTATCTAAACCACAACACCATCAAAGGGCTTCTCTGGCCCAATATGGGTGAATCATCTCATCAGAATGTAGTTAAGCTCTATAGAGTCTTGCCAATGATCTAATTACTTGAATGAGGTGTGTTGAAGCATTAAAATCATTGTACTTTATGTGCCACTTTGTCCTTTTTATAACACAAACTCCAGTCAAAACATATAGCAGTTGGTAGTTGTGACAAAGTTCAAGGGGTATGAATGCTAATTTGAGTAAAAACCATGCATATGTAGAGGGCAAAATGGTCAAAGTTTACCAAACAAAACATAAGCCACCTGATGAAAGTAAGGAAAATGTCATGTGATTTGCTGGGGTGTGTCACTGATTGTTTCACCTGCAAAGTGACCTCTGATTTTAAACACGTGAACAACTCTGAGAAACTGAAGCGGTGGTAAATGAATGAACACGCAAAGACACCAAGCATACCTTTGGTAGCTCTTTGAGTTGGTTGGCATCGAGGAGAAGTTCCTCCAGACTGCGGCTGTAGCGAAAGATCTCATCGGGGACAGTCTGCAGGTTGCAGTGGCGCTTGTCCACCGACTCGACGTGGCGATTGCAGCGCCACAGGGGGATACACTTCAGCATGTCCGGCCGCCTAAGGGGATTTGGATGCCGGTGCTACTAAGATCTCCGCATTAGAGGGTGCAGCGGGAGAGGGAGGTTAAGTCAGTGTCAAAACACCTAATTTGTTCCTCCAATGATCCAGAGTAGGAGGCCGAAATCCACCTGAAGAAGCACAAAAATAATCCCTTCGATCTGTTTCTGATGTATATTCCGTGTCCGGTTCTGCTTGAAAATTGTCGGGATCCTCCCAGCGACATCCAATCCGGAATTTAACCAAACATGAAGGAAATTAAGCTCCTCACGGATGGGCTTGAAGTGTTGCCTCACTTTCTTACACTCCCCTCCTTCACACGGAGCAACCGACGTTAGCTTGTTTTGCTACCGCCGCCGCCAACATCCCCCGAAGCAGCCCGAAGCTCCTCAAACGAGGCTAACTGAAAATCAATCTTCCGAACACCCCGCGTCGCGAAACGCTGCCCTATCCGCCGCAGTCATGGGTGGGCAACTGAAAGCATCCACTTTAGTCACAGAGTTATAGATAAACAGCTATGACCAAGCGGCTTACGCCAAACGAGTCAGCGGAGATTAACTCGTAATGATGCGTTCGTCCTCAGGAAGCTAGTCACAGTTAGCCAACGTCGGCTAGGAGGAGGCTGGACGGCTTTGTGGCGGAGCTGCCGTTAACCGACAGCGCTTTAATAAAAACTACAAAAAACACGGGACGACTGTGTGTGGCAGCAACATCCCAGAATAAGTCACAAAAAGTGACCAGACGGTGTTCATCCGACCCCAGGGGTGGTAGAATCCAAGCAGAGAGAGCAGGAGCTTCAGCAACAGCCGCGCTTGCCTCCCCTGTTGAGCTGAGGCAGGCCGGTCTGGTGTGCGGGGGGGCTGGGCTAGGCTCGGGCTGAAGCACCGCCGCTTAGCTTCTCCTTAGCAGAGGCCACAAGGTTGCTTTACACCGCCACCTGGCGGCCTTATCGGGTATTTCAACTTACCGATACCTCTGAATAAACTGGATCACAAAAGTATCCCAATATCTGTTCAAAGTAACATGTTGTTTTTATAGACTAATTATACACAGTGTGATATATATTTTCATAATTTCCCAAAAGTAAAACAAAATATAAATAAGTCAAAAGCACGCAAAACCAGTTGTATGACATTTAAAAATTATATTTTTGTCTAACGTTTAAATTCCCAAATGTGAAATAAAGCAAAATGTGTAACTTTTTTTCCGACTAGTTCTAACAATTATCATCTAAATCAGGGGTGTTCAAAGTCGGTCCTCGAGGGCCGGCATCCTGGGTGTTTTAGTTCTCTCCCTGGTTTAACGCACCTGGATCAAATGATGGTTTATTAGAGGCCTAAGGAAACTTAAGACTTGCTGAGAAGGTTGTTACCACCACCAGGGAGGGAACTAACTCATGCAGGATGCCGACCCTCGAGGACCGACTTTGAGCACACCTGATCTAAACTATTCATAATAAAACACATTTATAAATAATTTAAAGTGTAAAGCAAATCTGCAAGGACTCTAAATTAAGTCCATATTTATTCCAAAATAATCTTAAAATCTCTATTCCCCTTCCAGGTTAGCCTGAATTTCACTCACTCCTAATATTCATCAAAAAATAAAAAATAAAAAAAAATACAGGATGAGGCAAATCATGTATAGCAACAATTTTAATTAAATTTGGTTAAGTTTTTTCAATTGGTCCATCCCACCTTGATAAAAAGTTTAAGATTGTTTCAGTCACACCACAATAAAACAAATAGAAAAGTCTTGAGTTGCTTCCTTACTGCAACCATTAAAAAAAAAAAATCTCCAACAAGCTGTTTGTGGACAAACAATAACCTTTAATTGTAGAAAGGAAAAAAAAAGTGTTTACATGTCCTGACAATTTCATAACAGAAAACAAAGGAGCTAAGCAGAAAAAAAACTGTCGTACAAGATCAGATTACAAAAATTTGAAACTTGCACCATAAAAGGGAATCTTCACAGATCACAAAGCAGAAAAAAAGATCCTACAAGTTTTTTATTGAATTTCACCCCCAATGGAACTTTTTCATATTAATATCAACAGCAATAAAAAAAAGGGAAAAAAAAAAGACAATAAAAACATAATTACAGTTTTCAGAAGCCCGCACCTTTTAGCTGCAGTGAGGATGGCTGAAATGACTTTTGGTGACAGGTAAGTGATACGGGTGCTGGTAAGCCATTTCTAACACGTTATGCAGAAAGGTCGCTGCTGTTAAAACGGTCTTGGTCATACACCTCTGCAACAACTTTGCGGCCTCCAAACCAGCGGTCGTTCAGGGCTTGGATAGCTTTGTTCATCTCGGAGGCAGCGGAAAACTCTACAAAGATTTTGACTATGATGTCTGCGTCTTCCTCCTCTCCTTGCTTCTCCTGGTAGATGATGACTCTGTTGACGGTGCCGAACTTCCCGCACTCCTCCGTCACCTCGCCCTCCAGGTCGTCGTCGATGTCCTCTGGTCCAACCATGTTTCGAAGCACCATCACCGTGGACTGAAGTGGGACAAGAAGGTTCAGTGAGCACAGAACGGTTTCATTCAGGAGACACGACTGGTAAATCAGAAGCGTGGGTTACCTCGGATTTTCTGAGCAACTTCTGCATCACCATGTGCCTGGCACTGCTCCCCGAGATGCTCATGTGCTCCTGGTCACTTAGCATCTCCTGGCCTGTGCCATCCTGAAGCGTCTCCTCTTTCTCCTCCTTCTTCTCCTGTTGGTTCGAGCCGCCGGCTTGGTTAGACAGCACAGGCGGTGATGCGAGCACCGGGTTCACTAGACCAACTTGGGGAATCACGGGTATGGGAGGACGAACTGGAGTCACACCTTTACAACGAAGGCACACAGACTGCAGCTCAAGAACATTAAAGTAGCTTAAACAGCAGAAATCTGATGCAGAGTAAAAAATAAAGAAGGGACTCGAAATTGCATAAAGGTTCACTTTGTTTAAGGCAGGGGCGTCAAGCTCATTCATTTTGGGTCACATCAAGATCTAGAATGTGTTTAAAGGGCCGGGTGTGGCAGAATGTCTTGATAAAATACCATTTAGCTTCTCTACTAGGAGTTTTAAGTATTGTAACTTACCGTCTGATTTTAAGACCATAACTGACATTTAAATATTCAAGGCAAAAGAATTTACTAAAGATCAATCAGAATTGCATTCAAACATTTTATTCAGTTGTTCTAAATATGTTGTTTTATATGTTATATTTACTGTTGATTTTAACTTTTCATTTTAATCAACTGCTAAAGGTCTTTTTTGTGATGAGTGTTGCAAAATGATCTATGGCTATAAATACTGATGCAGGCATGTTGTCTTGTATTTGTCCCCATCAAATAAAGTAAAACAACAAAACTACACATTAACAAACTGTTAAAGTATGACTAATTAGCCATCTCCGCATTTGAAATTAAATAAACATATTTTGACCTTAATCTAATTTGGCAGAATACAGATGAAACTGCTGTAATTTGATTGATGAAATAATATTTAAGCACACAAATTATATTTAAGGTTCTATTTCTAGAGTCTAGAGGGCCAGATAAAACCTTCTGGCTGGATTTGAAAATGCCTTTAAAGGTACTATACATCTACAAATATGCATATATGAAAATGAAAAACATATCAAAATGTATATAGCTGTTAGGCTCAGGAAACCCATAAAATCCAAATCTGAATGTGTGTGGAAAATGTGGAGTGAGAAACAAAAGAAAAAAGAAAAAGAAAGAAAAACATTTTGTGGCGTTTCTCCTGGAAAAAAAGAAGACAATTGTTACAAATGGTACATACAGGTTTAAAATCTTTTAGCATGTATGTATATTTATGATATATGGAGAGGAGCAATGTGAATAATAATATTTACAAACAAATTGTTGGAGTAAGTTGAAAGCCAGGTAGGCCACCGAAATGCCTGTGCAAAAGAAGCTTCTTAAAGGGAAGTATCCAAGCAAATTAATGGAAAGTTTAGTAGAAGGAAAAAATGTGTTCCAGAAAAAGGAATCAATCGAAGGATTCGATGTGTAACCATACATCTTGTGCTGTCAGACATGTCAAGTTGAAATACCTGCTTTAATACATGCATTAACCAGATCAAGTATAAACCAATGATTTTGGTTAAATCATTTTAATAAATGAAAAGCAGCTTCATTATAATGTAAAATGTCCTTTAGGGATCCCCTTTGCTTTTGCTCTCTGCCCATACTTACATGTTTTACATCGTAAAAGAAGTTTTAATAAATGAAGAAAACCCAACTACATAAAGAAGCCATTTTAGATGGCTTATTTTGGGGGAAAAGTTAATAAATCCAGTTGATCCTGTGTGAAATACTGGGAATGAGTCGAACATTGTGTAGAGGAACTTTAGCTCACTCTGCAGAATCAGTGGTAAACCTGCGTCAGGTTGTGTTTCTGTGTAACTCGGGTAAACTTGAGCTTCACAAACTAATGGTTGGATAATTTTCTGATGGACAGCAGGATTAAGATTTTATCAATTATGGCATTTAGGCAAATTAGCCCCAGACCGCAGCAGTATCACCGCTATGGTCTGACTCGTCGTATGGTCTTTTTCTGAAATGCTGTGCTCCAACAGGACACCTTCCAAATACTTCCACTTACGTCTCTGCAGTCCATAAAATGTATCCCCAAATGTTTTGGGTATAAAGGTTTTTAGGGAAATGGTGAGATGTGCCTCTGTGATATTTTTTATCAGCAGTAGTTTTGACCTTGGAGGTCTCCAAGTTTCTCTTATTGTCGAACCAGGAACAGTGACCTTAACTGAGGCCTGCGGTGCTTTTTGTTCAGTCCTTTTCTGTTTGACTTCATGGATTAGTCGTTGACGGACTCTTGTACTGTTGGTAAACATGTCTTCTCAATTTCACAGTAATGTCCTTTTCTGTGATTCGCGAAGCCTTGTAAATATCTTTGTAAAATGTAAATGACTTAATTTTTCATGTGTTCCTGAATTTCTTTAGGTGATTGATGGCCCGACGTGTTGCTTTAAAGATGTTTTTAGTCTTTAAAAAGCAACACGTCTGGCCATCAATGTGTTTAGGTGATTTTATTTTTATTGATAAGGTGGATTATAAAACTGAACCACAAAACAAGATGGGAAATTTCAGTATCGGATAGTGCCACGTTGATTTGCATAGCTATTTCCCATAATCATAATTTCAGAACTGTTCTTTAACATTTTCCTCAGGTTACCTTTAATATTAACACTTATTTAAGTGTACACATTTGACAAAAAAAAGAAGAAATGTGTATGGGGGAGAAATACATTTTCCTTATACAGTGGACCCCCGCCTAATCACAGATTATTTTTTTTGTAAAACTAAAATCCATCTGTTTGCAGATTTTTTTCATAGAGAATAGAAGCTGAAATTCCAGGGTGTGATGAAACTTAACATTAAATTGATTGGTGTTCGCTAAACAACCAATCCAAGAGCCCCTTTTCCTTGGCTCTGATTGGTTGTACCCCCAAGAGCAGACAAAAGGAAGACTATAGCTATTAGCTTCTGCAGCACTGCTGTTTCTACTGTACGTATTGATACATATTTAGATACATTTGGCGTTTAAACTATTAAAATAGGTAGTTACAAGCACTTTTAGAGGAGTCCCAGGTATTCAGCTATAAGGGGGTCCACTGTACTGTAATTATTTCCTCCCCTAATGTCATCATACTGTCAAAAATACCGTTCGGAGGTGAAACAACCCTGCTCGCCACACCCACAAAGACAGATTCACATCAGTCCGTACCTGTGATAACACCTGGTGCCTGTGCAGCCATAACAGCCTGAGGTAATCCTATCTGCTGTCCGAGAAGCTGTGGTGCTGCCAATGCCCCCAAAACTGACGCGCCAGCTACCGCC